AGTGTACCACAGTGACTAACATGTCCCTGCCTCATGGTTTGTTCCTGCCATTTGGGCTGCTCTTTCTTCAACGCCGGATTGAAATCCTCATTGGAAAGTCATGAAGGCACTGATCAAAGAGTAGGGCTTCAGAATCCAGCATGGGAGTCCAGCTCTTCCCATGCCTAACAGTAGAGCTTTGGCAAGTCACAGAAAATCCTGGAAGATGGGAGCGGAGTGGAGAGATGGCCCAGTGGGTGAAGTGCTTGTCTTGTAAGTATGAGGACCAAAGTTCAATCCCCAGCACACACATGAAAAGTCAAGCATTGTGCACTTGGACTCGCAGCACTGGGGAGGTCAAGGCAGGTAGATCCCTGGGGCTCACTGGCCAGCCAGCCAGGCCTGATCAGCAAGCCCTAAGCCTCACTGACAGACTCTGTGGTAAACAGGCTTGAGGAACGGCACCCAAAGTTTATTTCTGTCCTCCATAAGCAAACACAAGTGCACGCAGGCACACATGCACAACTAAGGACAAAAGGGGAAAAACATAAGCTTGATTGCTTCACTTCCAAATGGGGTTAAGGTGCTGCCCTGCACAGGGCTGGTTCGCTTGCTTGTGTGTTTAGATGAGATTAAATAAGACAGCTGGGAAAAACTTACAAATCATGGTACTGCATTTCTTTCTCTCTTCTAGTCTTCAAAGCTTTCCTTAATTCAAACAGCCATATAACATCTTACTCCTCTGTCAATTTAAAAAAATCGGAGGGAGGTATACCAAAGAGTGATGTCATTTATTGGTCCTATAACTGCCCAACATTGAACATGAGATAAACACTCAGGTAGAGACAGCAGATGTACATATACATGTGAATGATAAAAAATCCCAGTCCAGAGGTCAGGACTGGCTGACTTTCCAGGCCCACAACACAGGAGTGTTTTTACTGAAGCAAGGGACATAATCCAGATGAAAAGGTGCTTGCCACGCATCTGAGATCAGATCCCCACAGCCGTGTTAAAAGCTGGAGGTGTGTGTCTGCAATCCCCACGTTGAGGAGGCAAAGACAAGAGGACGCCTGACACTTGTTGGTTTGCCAATCTAGACAAATCAGTGAGTTCCAGGTTCATTGAGAGATCCTGCCTGAAAGTCACCAGACCTGGACCTCTGGCCTCCACATGTACACAAACACACATGCACACACACATACATACACATGCATATATATATATACATGCACATGCATACAAATGCACATACATGTGCACACTTGCACATATATACATGTGAACACATACACGTGTACATACATGTGCACACACATACATGTCACACATGAGTACACACAAAACAAGGGCCTTTTCTTTCTCTTCTGGCTTAGTTTCTTTGTTTTTTGACTTTCAGGTTTTAAGACAGACTCTCTATGTAGCCCTGCCTGTAATAGAATTCACTAAGTAGACAAGGCAAAGTTCAAACTCACAGAGGTCTACCTGCCTCTGCCTTCCAAGTACTGAGATTTAAGGTGTGCTCCACCAAATCTGACATGAAAAGGGTGTTTTATTAGCTTGTCCATGGGCCGTGCTCACTTATAAGAAAGTCAAAATGAAAGGAACTAAGCCAACAGGTACAGCAACAATGACCACTTATCTCTCCTTCACTCAGTTCTTCCACCGTTAAATGAGAGGGTTGCAGCTGATGGACTCTGAGGATGACAACCAAGTGCGAGGGTTTAACACAGCTCTTTCTACTGGTTAGCTGTGCGGCTTCGCTTCTTCTTCTCCGTCTCTCCGGCATATTTCCTCAGCTGTAAAAATAGTCTCAATAACACCTAAGTGTCAGGGCTATAAAGTGAATTAAAGAGAACAGTGAGTGCCTGGGCCCACAGAACATTCTCCCTTCCTCCTTGTCTTCTACTCATAACTTCTCTCAACTACTCATAAACTGGAAGCCCTCCTTTCACCTCTGACTACCTCTGGCTGGCAAGATGTCCTCCTTAGTAGGGACTTTCCTCTGTGGGACTCTGCCCTCGTGCTGTACTGTGTTGTGTTGTATTGTGCTGTACTGTGTTGTGTTGTATTGTGCTGTATTGTGTTGTGTTGTATTGTGCTGTATTGTGTTGTGTTGTATTTTATTGTACTATATTGTATTGTATTGTACTGTATTATGTCATGTTGTGTTGTACTGTATTGTGTTGTATTGTATTGAACTATCCTGTATTGTAGTATGTTGTGTTGTGTCATACTGTATTGTGTTATGTTGTATTGTACTGTTGTGTTGTATTATATTACACTGCATTGTGTTGTATTGTACTGTACTGTGTTGTGTTGTATTGAGAAGGAGAAACTACTGGATTATTGACTGAGAGTAAATTTAGAGACTGTTAAAATAAGCCTATGTTTCAATTCTGGGAATTGTTTTGTTCTGGATCACTATTTAATAGGCACTACATTGCTGTCAATGGAAATAGATTCATTTCCATTTGTTTGGATTTTTGGTGTGTGTACGTACATGCATGTGCACATCTTCTGCAAGTATGGGAGCATGCTGTATGTGGGTGTGCATAGATGTGCATGTGGAAGCCCAAGGCTGAAGGATTGTCCTTCAAGGCTCTCCCACCTTGTTAACTAAAGGGGAATCTCACCGGTGTGTTTAGTCTTGCTAGGCACTTGCTCTGAGGATGTCTTGTCTCCTCCCCGCAAGGCTGGCATCACAAGTGGACAACCCCATTCATGCAGCATTTACATGAGTTCTGGGGATCCGGACACTGATCCTCACACTGGGGTAGCAAATGCTCTAACCACTGAGCCACTTTCCCTGTCCACTTAGCTCTTTTAAAAAAAAAAACAACAATTATTTTTCAAAAAGTTTTATTGGAAGTCTCAAGTATTTGAAACAGCCCACTTCACTTGAATGGAGCTTGTCCACCTTTATTAGTCTTCAAAGAACACCATCTGCTTTCAAAGTAAATCAGTATTCTGAACTTGCTTCTCTCGGTCTTTGTTCCCAGTTCCTGCAAGCATTCCCATCAGAATTTGAGGCAATTTTAAGGAAGTTGTTTCTTTTTAAAATGCAAACATCACCAAATCTCTAAATCTACACACTCCTTGACATATTTGGTTCATTTCCACCTTTTTTAAAGTTTTAAATACCAGAAACAAAGTGGGTATAACTTTGTACAAAGTAAAAAAATATAAGATGCACTTCCTGTGTCTTTGCTGAAGCATTTAAATGATTAGCTGGTTAGATTCAGCTTAAACAGAACACTACAAAATTTCTTATTAGTGCAAATTCATGGATTATTCTGCGTACACATGCACTGACCAGTGGCTTCAAAGACATGCTTTAATTATGAAATAGAAGAAAAGGAAATACATCTTCAAACACATGTTACAAACTCTTCCACCACAAATACAGTTTGATTTGTGTATTGTAGGGTGTCTATTTTATAATTTTTGTATTGCATACAGACTTCCTTAACACTTGTTTTTTACAGTGTGTGTGAGTGTTTGTATGGATGGGTGCAGTACTGACAGGCCAGAAAAGGGCATCTGATCTTGGGGAGTGGGCAGGTGTGGAAGTGGTGAGCTGCCACGTGGGTGCTGGGAACCAAACTCAGATCCTCTGCAAAGGTAGTAAGTGTTCCTAATGCTCAGCCGTCTCCATCTCGCCTGGATTGTTTGTTTATTTATTCATTTATTTATTTGTTTACTTTTATGTGACAGTTAAGTAGTTCTCTAAAAGCATAGTTGCAAAAAAATGCTATCATTTCCTTGAAACCAGAAGTGTTGAATTTGGAGGCAGCTTCCGGGTTTTAGTGGTGGCAATTACTCGTTGAGCTCTGTCTGTAATAGGCAATAACCTGGAGGCACAGCCTGTGGGCGCTCCCAACACTTACCTATACAGTTCAGAATAAAACAATGGAAGTGTACATCGCACTATACTTCTGTGGCTTAATTAGATTAAGACGCATAAATTTAACTTTTATGTAAGCAAATTGTCCATTTGTCTGATCACAGTCCATTAACACATGGGTTCTACCTATCCTTTACTTGAGTCATGTGAAATATTAACCTAAAGACAAGATGAAGAGAGAGAAGTGAAATGTCTATCAGTTTTCTGAGTTTGAAGAAGTCAGAAAACTGATTGGCATTTCACATAAATAAACATATAAAACAAACACATAAAAGAGCACTAGCCAGTCTGCATGAATGTTCTCCTAGCTTAAGGAAAGCACCAGGATCCATCCAGAGGAGCTAATCATGTGACCCAGCAGGCCGCCAGCAGGAGCAGTGGTTTCCATAAACCACTTCCACTGCTGACTCACTACACTCTCCACTCTGCTCTCGCCCCTCCCTTAAATCAGAAGACAGCGGCTCCCTTGTCAGAAAATCCCTGCTTCATCAGACTTCCAAGGGTGACCCCCTAAATCACTGTGGAACCTCATTTTTCCCAGCTAACCCAGAGATTCCAGCACACGGGACCACTTGGTCTGTTCCACAGCTCAGCCCTGCCCGCCCCACCTCCCTCTTTTAACCCTGAAATTCACAGCTGGATGGCACTAGTCACTCTGATGTAACAGCCTGAGTTTTCCCAGGGGAGTCCTCAAAGTCCTTCCTCCCTCCCTGTGCCCCTCTGGTCTGAGCCTAAGTTTCTCCACATGCCCCGTGTGGGATTTGGAATGTCTTCCATGCAAGGCAAGGAACACAAATCTGTGAGGGACTACACCACCACACCCTGGCTCAGTCTCTAAGCCTCTGCAAATCCTATGAACAATCCTAAGCCTAAGTGTATAAACACATTTTACTGGGCCTGGCCATTCCTCCCCGACCTTCTGCTTGCCTGTTCCACCTAGCCATTTCTCCAGCACCACACCTCTGCATGGCATCTTGTATCTATCCTCCAATCCTGGTGCCTCCCACAGCTCTCTGCTCCAACACCTGAATCCTATCCCATCTCCTGGGGTGGGGCTTATTCCTCTTATCAGCCAACCCTCCTCCTTTATTACACACAATCCTTTGAACGGAATTCCTGGCAAGATAGAGCAGTGACTGTCAGCTCCAAGCCTGGTTGGGGTTTATTGGACAAAGACTCTTTGGGACTGTCTCAGAGACAGGTAAAGGGTGACCAAGCAAGAAAGAAGTAGAAAGAACCCCAAAAGAAAGAGAAGCAGTAACTAAAGAGTTTAGTGTGTGACTGGAGGTCAGGGAGAGAGTAGAACAGAGCCAACAGTAGCCAAGAGATTGGGGGGTGGGCAGTCAGAACACAGGCCTGAGGTCTAAGAAAGAAAACACCAGCCTGGCAGTGTGTTAGTGACCCAGCATCGCCCTTCCTGAAGATCTACAAAGGCACATGGGTCCTGAAAATTTCTTTTATTCTGGCGACTGGAAGCTGAACTAAGGAAGTCCAGAGGGCATTTGCAAAGGCCCCTCAAGTCACAGGGAGGCTCAGGGCTCACTTGGCGACACAGGGCCCATAGGTGGCACCCCAGCCTCTCAGGGACTATCTGAGGTCAGCAGGAAGGGGACACAAGTCAGAAAAGAAGACAAAGGTGGACGCTGGCTCCAAACCTCTCCCTACCAACTCTGCATCGTTTCTCTGTTTCTGTTACCCTTGAGCAGTGATTGCTGATTGGGAAAGTCGTCACCTCCAAGACCCTGTCTGGAAAACTGAACCTCTGTCTGGTGACAACTGTGGACACAGGACAAGCAGCTGTCAGCTCTTCCACTGGAAGCCACTCCTGGTCTTGTGGGTATACGAGGTCCATGGAAGTCCCTGTGTCCGAGGGATCGTGCTTCAGTCACCCAGCATCAGGATCCCTGAACACCACCCCGGTGTGCCCTCTGAGTTCCCAGAAGCTCCAGGATGAAAGTACACCACCCTCTGCTGGCATCATCCTGGGCACACACAGAGTGTCCCTCCCAGCTGTCTTCGGGGCAGGCCACGGCAGGCCCTACGATCCACGGGGACATGGAGAAGGAGAGTTCAGGGTATAATGAGGCTCGGGAGAAGCGGGGCCTGTCCTTCTCCATTGACGCTATCCTGAAGAGGCCCTCAGAGAAAAGAAACACACCCAGACCGCAAAGCGTAGGAGAAGAGGACTCCAGGCAGACAGCAACCCCAGGTTCAAAGCTAGAGAGGCCCCCACAGGATCAGTCCCAAGGTAAGTGACTTCTGGTCATTCGCTTTTCTGCCGTGGGCTCTGGGGAGGTTCTGATGGTTCTCATCAATAAAACAAGAGGCTATGACATCCAAAGTGATAATAGGTTCTAGGCCAGATGCTTATTAAACTTTTCATTCCGAATCAGAACCGTGCTATTCAGAGCACAGAAGCCCATTGGCTCGGCCGATTTTGCAAAATGCAGGGACATAGAGCTTACTCTTGTTGACCAGGCTATGACCAAGCTATGACCAGGAATTGTCAGTCACATTCACCTGCACTGATGAAGTGGTAGGCACTGTCCTTTCATTTGGACAGAAACTATGGCAACTGGGTTGATAAGGAAAGAGGTGGACAATGTCACCAAGTTACAAAACTAGAAGCCACAAGCTGGCACATCCAAAACCTTGTTCCTAGCACATTCTCCCCATGAGCTGCGCTCAGTTTGCATCAGCTCGCATGGCTTCTAGTACATGAAGCTTTGCCAGGGTCTGTCCTCATAGATTCCCCACACCCAAGTCTGTAGCTTCCCAAGGACATACACCTACATAAATGACCAGACAGTTTTCAGCTTTTCTTCAAGCCAGCATTCACTCAGGGCAGTGGATACCCCTTGCTGTGGGATCCTGGATGGCAAAGGGTGTCTCCAACCTATCTTAGCCTGCGGTGTGACTTTAGGGAAGTTCCTGTTCTCTCTGATCTCAGCTTTACTCTGTGAAGCAGCTCAGAGAATGGGAGTGAGGGATGTTAGTGCTTATGAAATCTCAAAGGCCATTCGGTCATGAGTCTGTAAGCCTGGAGTATCTCACACCAGACCCTGGTCTTTCCTGTTTTCACTCTTTTCATCTAAGAAAATGCTAGGCAGGAAGCTCAGGGGGTCCTTGATGGTATTACCTCCCCACACAGAGTCCTGCCCCAGCCAGTCTCCCACAGAGATTCCTCACAGGAGCTGTGCTTAGCTATAGGCAAGAGGACAATCTGGGGGAGACGCTGCCACCAGCAGCAGGGGAGTTGGCTGGTTTCCTGATAGAAAAGGGCTTCGGCTCAGCTTTCAGAAGTTCGCTGGTATCTTCCAGTCAATTAAGGATTCACAGAAGCCAGCTCACTAGGAGTTTTAACCTGGGTCTCATCTGCTGCAGCTGTATAAATGAATGCCACCTTCCCCATCACAGAGAGATGGGTGGGTGCCACTGCTACTGATAGCTAAAAGAGACTGCTTTTTCTGAACCTCCATTGAAGATTCGAGTATGTTCCGTTTGTATGTTCCTGCTAAGCCCAGAGCAGACACCAGAAAGTGCTGGCCAAAATAACAGCCACAGCATTGGAGGGTGCCCCGAGCTAGTACTTTCTCTCTTGTTCTAGTTCATGGTCATATATGTGAGACCCACTTTAGAGAAGGCAAATCGAAAAAAGAAGAGAAATCACCTATAAAAACTGCATAAGCAATTAGTACTAGCCCTGAGCCCTGGAGGCCTATGGCTGTGCAAGTTATTTATGGTCATAGTTTAAATTCATACAGCCCTCCTGCTAGAACTCAGTTTTCCCAACCCTTGGAGCAGGACCCTCTGGCAGTTCATGACTTTGGCTACTCACAGATGAAAAGCCACTATGTCAATAGTTCTGGAGTTAGCTTACTATAATAGTTCTGGAGTTAGCTTAC